AAAAAAATCATAGTATTGAAATATTGCATAGTTTCCTGAGAACAGAATTAAATAACTACACAGTCTGGTAAGAATAAGTTATCTACAGAAAATAAATATTTGGAAATGAAAGAGCACACTTCAAAATAATAATTGTTGAGCTAAAGGACAAATCACAAGGAAAATCAGAATATATTTCAAAGGGAATACAAATTAAATATAAAAAGTATATACATAATTTGAGTTTATAAATAAATACATTTTAAATAAATATACATTTTATTTATAAAATACATACTTAGATATTCATATACATATTTATATATCTAAACTGTGGGACATAGCTAGGGCAGGTCTTTAAAAAGTGGAAATTTGAAGATTTTATTTCAAATGTATGATGATTTCAATTCACACACTGATTTCTAACTTAAAATGGCAGCAGTGGGCTAGGGATATAGCCCAGTCATGGAATGCTTGCCTAGTGATAGAGGTGCAAGGCCCTGGATTATATCCCCCATACCATGCACAGAAAAAAATGAATAAAATAAAGGCGAATGGTAATAATAAAATTAAACTCAAAGTCTTTAGAAGGAAGAAAACAATAAAGTTAAACAGAAAAATGACAAAATTAAAAAGTGAGAAGAGAGAAAGTTAGCAAAGCTAACTAACCTAAAGCTAAAGTTGAAACTTTAAAAATCTAAATCTGAATGAGAGAAAATAGAAAAAATAGGGTGTTAAAGTTGGTTACTAAAATTATTAATAAAATTGGGAAAAAAAACTGTTATGATTTGGCCCCAAACTTCCTATGTTGATGCAGAAATGTTCAGAGGTGAAATGATATGTGACAGCTCTATCCTAATCAAACCATTCCAGTTTGAGTGGACTAAATGGTAACTGTAGAAAGGTGGGAGAGATGGGTCACTAGAAATATACCCTAAAAGGATGTTCACCATCCCTGTGGCTCCCCACTCTTTGCTTCCAAGCTATCATGATTTAAGCAATTCTCCTCTGCTATGATACCCTGCCTCATCTCAAGCTCAGAGCAATGGATTTGGCCAACCATGAACTGAACCTCTGAAACTGTGAGCCCGAAATAAACTTTTCCTCCCTAAGCTGTTCTCAGGTATTTTCATCACAGCAATGAAAAGCTGACTAACAGAAAAATGATAAAGAATCATGATAGCGGTCAACATATCAAGAATGTAACAAAGGAGTGACGGATCAGGAATCCTCAAACCTCCTTTTCCCCATAGACACACTGGTCAACAATACATGAACCAATTCCCTTTAAGAGAAATCTACAAAGTGGTTGAAAGGTTCTTAATGCCAGATGAGCCCTCAAAAATGCATCAAAGCCAGTAGGAAAATTCATGTCTTTCCATATCTTCTCCCCCAGCACAGAGCTACACAATTGATAATAAAGTCCAGTTTCCAGACTTTTATTGGGCAAAGAAAGGAAGAGTGGAGCTTGTGTCAAATGCTCTGAATTTTCTGAAATTTTGTGTCAATTGTCTCAAAGCCATGATGTGATGGAATATACTTCAAATGCCCTAAAACATGCCCCCAGTGATGTGTGTCCTCCAGTCATATCTTACCTGTTTTTAGTCACCTGCCTATATAAATTATTTTTAAGCTGGAAGTAAAGTACAGTACTTTTAGTCAGTAGTTTTTTCATATTAATAATCCATCAAATGGATTAATCCACTGATAAGGTTACAGCTCTTATTACCTAATCATATCACCTTGAACATTCCTGCATTTCACACACATGAGTTTTTTGGGGGGAACAACTTATCTAAAACATAAAAATAACCAATAAGCCAAAGAAGAAATCAAAAGAAAATTTAGATAGTATATTGAAACACATGGAAATGAAAATATAACTTGTCCAAACATAGAATTCAGCACAGTAGAACTGAGAATTATATCACATCATGTACCAGTAGAGTTTTTCCTCAAGAATGAAAGATTTAAAGGCTGCAGTTGTGGCTCAGAGGCAGAGCACTCGCCTAGCATACATGAGGCACTGGGTTCAATCCTCAGCACCACATAAAAATAAAATATGTGTCCATATACAACTAAAAGCATAAATGTTTTTTAAAAAGAATGAAAGGTTTAAGATTTTTTTTATATGTATGGGTGCACACAAACATGTAAAATTCACTGTATTATCAATAAAAAATGTATTTAGCATTTATTCAACACCCTCAATGATCAAAATTTCTCAGCTAACTAGGAACAGAAAGAAACCCCCTCAATTTGATAAACAGCACCTATGTAAATCCCAAAATAACATGATACTCATGGTAAAATATTGAATGAAGAGTGATGAAATAAATCAATACCTTCATAGTAAATTGATTCTTTTTCATACATATTGCTTGAACAACTGGCTATCCATACAGAGAAAAAAACAACAACTGCTACTTAATCTTGTACTCAAAATTAATATAAGGTGATAAAACTAAATTCTAATACTATAAAGCTATAAAGCTTCAGGAAGAAAATGTAATAGAACATGTGTACTTCATTGCATGTAAATTGTTTCCTTTTAAAAAAATTATCTCAACATACATTATATATAATCAGAGATATGATAAATTATGATATAATTGTGTATTAAGAATTGTAATGCAAACATAAATAAATAAATACATATTACCAAAAGAAAAAAGAAAAAGAAAATTATCAAGTTAAAATATATGCCTTACATTTTTTTTTAATTGGTATGGCCATACTTCCTATATATTGGTATGGCAGACTGTCAAAACTATTGAACCTAGTCCTTACAATTATAGAGAAAAAGATATAAAAATCTGAAAGACTAGAATGCTCTTTGCTATTCAATTGGAATTGCTAGTGTCGGTACAACCCAGAATTTTCAAGGCAGATAGAGACAAAAATTACCTTCCAACTTCAAAAAATTATATCAACACATAGCTAAATTTTTAAAAAACACAAAATACTACTTCTATAAGTGAGGAAAAATATAATGAATTTTAGAAAACATTGTACACAAGAACTTACTTGTGCAGGTTGGTTCAGGGTCCCATCGTCCATTGACACAGATTGAATGTTTCTGCTCCAACTTTCCCCTACATTGGTAACTGAAGTTAAAATTATGATCATATTCATTTTTATCTGATTTATTTGCTTCATTTGCAGTTAGTCTTGGTGCTTGACACTTCTCAAGTTGATCTGTTGCTATAAAATGAAAATATTTCCATGAAAAGACCAATTATAAGAATCAAGTCAATATAGAGTAGCTGTACAGTCAATGTCAAATGAAATTTTGATTTGTGCCTTTAAATTCTATCAACCAAATTATTCCTGGTCACCACTGCATGAGATGAGCCTTTATGTCCTATCTTTGAACTATTATAGAGAATACCTGTCATAAAGATATTTTGTACTTTGGTAACTGAAAGAGCACAAGAGACTCATTTTCTCAGAAGATTTGCATACTAAATAGTTATCAAAGAACTAAATTTGGAAAAAAAATTTAAAAACACTAGATTTGGTCCCATATTTGAAACCTGTGCAAAAGATTCATATTCATTTGTTTTCCTAATTGCAACCACCACTATATTATCTATAATCTAGAATCCTTAAATATTAAAATAAAAACATCATCTATGGAAATATAATATAACAAGTTGTTCATTTAAACATATTTTTGAGAGTAGTAACATAATATAATAAAATCTATCTAAAATATATTTTATAGGACATGAATAGTTAAGCAGATTTGTTATATGATCGGAGAGAGAGAGGAAATACTTGGAATAAGAAATTGTGTGCTTTCATTAGAAGTGTAGCTTGGTGGTAGAGGCTGGCCTGTCATTTCCAGGCTCTAAGTTCAATGCCTACATTATAAAAAGAAAAAGTAAAAACGAAATCAGGTGCTTTAAAATCATAATGTCTCTTTTTCCATTCTTAGAGTCTTTAAGAAACTATTATGTATACCAGATCATACTATAATCAAATAATATTATAATACCATAACAACAAAATTGACTCTGTTATGACTTCAATAAGTACTACAGAAGCTTTCAATGTACCATATATTTCAATAACTCAGGGAAGATGAGAGTTCTTTTTGAAAATGATAAAATTTCTGTATTGGTCTCTGTAAATATTTGTTATTAACAATTTGAAAAGCAGAGTCAAGTGAGGATGAACAGAGTAAAGAAAAATCAGTAACTACCAAAGCACAGTAAGTTTGTAAACCAATCTTTAAAAACAAAACAATGAAATGGGAAATTTAAAAGTACATACTTGAGATTTAGTCTCATCCTTGGGGCTGGTCCACAGTGTTGAGAAAGGAAAAACAAGAGGTAGAAACTAAAGGAAGATCTTTGGTCAAGGGAAACTGTTTGTGCCCTGGATTTGATCAGTTTCTGAAAGGATTTCTTTGGTTTTGGGAGTAAATAAATACATTGAGAAGCACGAAAAGCTAGAGTGGTGGAAAGTACAAAATGAATATTGAAAAGGTAGAATTATAGACCAAACTATGAGAGCTGGAAGGACTTATATGAAGCAGACTATAGGCAGTAAGAAGAAGATGACTCACAGGATAAAAAACTCTGAGATCAGAAGAAATAATAATTGTAGCACAACTTTGAGTTTAATTAAAATGAAAAGTTGAGAGTTTCTCATGCCTAATATTAGTTTTCCTCCCATATGAAATCAGATAAAATCATTTGTGTATGAAAAAGGACAAGAATAAGGTGAGGTCCAAAAGGATTGAAGACACTTTATTCACAGAAATGTGTTTAGCAAAAAATGTTAATAATCAACATAATTTATTGTTTCATTTGACAAAAACTTAATAAATGCTTCTGTATGTCAATCCATCTTAATGTCATGAGAACAAAACAAAGGTAATTCCTGTTCTGGAGGAACTCTACTCTGTTCTGAGATTAATTATGTCTAGAAATCTAATGAATAAGTAAGACTGGATACCCAGGACAGACTTAAAATGAAGGACCCAGGGAAATCTAGGAAAGAACTGAGTCTAAGAGAAAAGTGAAGAATCTTTCCTTTGGTCATCAAAGGCTTGATCACCAACAGGGAAAGCATGAAATCAATCAGTGATATTTGATTCCTGGCCCAACACCAGATGTGTAATGTTGCTAAGTTACTACTAACACCTGTGCTGCGGCTCATGAACTTCAGCTTGCTAACTTTGAAACTGAGAATTTATCCTTGTCAGAATCTCTGACAGAGAAAGATTCTTATAGGAAAAGCTAGTAACTAGTGGGTATTTTGTGGACTTTATTTGTTTTCCAGGGCTTGAAAGACAGAGTGCCATATGGAACAACAACAATATCTATGTAAAATACTTATATTTTTTGGAAAGAAATATTCACATTTTAATCATGTGATTAAGTAAAATCTAGCTTTACACTTATAAGGTAAATAATATTAATAGGGATAGAAACATTAATAAATTCTATCACTACTTTTATTTATTTCTTCTGGAAACTCATATTAAATGCTGAGCAATAAAATTCATTATAGTTAAGACTAGACTTTTTTCAAGAATATCTCTAATTTTATGAATAGATTGCAAATATCTTTTCCATAAAACTTAAACTTCATTAAGTGTGAATTTGAGGAGGGCAGTCTTACCAACACAGAGAGGAAGTTGGGTCCACATTCCACTAATACATGTAATTGATCTGTCTCCAATCATTGTAAAGGTTTCTGTACAATTGAACTCCACTGAATCCCCATGGTGATAAGGCGGGTCAGAAGGCTGGGCAAAGCCATGGTCCAGTTCAGGTATAGCTCCACACGTTCTCTCCTCCTCTATGTAAATTTCACAAATACATGTTGATAATGAAGACACAGTATGTATGTTTAAATAAATACAAAAGTGTTTCAGTTTAAATTTAGTATTTTTAATATATTACCAATACATTTTGGCAAGGTTGTCCACGTTCCATCAACACATTGAATTTTATTAGGTCCCTTCATCAAAAATCTAGGATTGCAATTATATTCTACTACTACATTGTGTCCATATTCTTCTTTCTTTGTTTCTTTAACTTCCCCATTGAATAGTGGAGGAGGTGGACCACATGACTGTACTTGATCTATAGTAGAAACAATGGTTAATGGTTAAATAGTCTATCTTGCACGTAAAAAAATCCAGAAAAAATGGAGAGAATTCTTTTTTAATTGTTTGTTTTTTCATATGATTAATTGTAAAGTTCTTAATTAAAAATAAATGTTTACATTATATTCATATTTCCAAGTTGGATTAATTCTATTATAGTAATATTGGAAATATTTTAAAGCTTTGAATATTTTCAATGATGTAGATATTTTGAAGATACATACAAACTGTTAGCAAATGTGGTTGTGTAAATTATATTAATTTTTCGTTCTATAGTAACATTTAATCATAATTTTTTGAGAAAGTATCATCAATGAGACAAGCATTTGATCAACATCTTTAACTGATTTTCTAATGTACTCCACTGAATTAACTATAAACTGTTTAAATATTGTTTAGATATACTCTATGAAACTTGAGAGAAGTTCTGTACTATATAAAATGTCCAGTATTAATGGTAGAAGTGTAGGAAAAATGGAAAGTAACAAAGTAAATCTCTCTAGTCTCAGCCACTATATTTGTATGTATGAATACTCCCAATACATATTTCAAGAAATAATTGGTGATTAAATTCTTAAATAAACTAGTTGTGCTTTCTGCCACATAACACATATCAACAACTTCATTAATTAGATTACAGATACAGTGGAAGCCAATACAAAATTAATAGAAGAAAGAAAAAAGGTTTATATTCAAAATTCTAATCATCATATTTACAACAGAAAGATAAATATTCACCTTTACACGTTGGGATATCCGGGGACCATCCAAAATGATAGCATTGTACTGAATCTGGTCCAACTCTTGTAAGTCCTGATCGGCAGGAAAATTTCAACAAATCTCCAACTTTATATTTATCTTTCTTGGGATCAGCCATTAAGAATTTTCCCATTTTGGGAATCCTGCATTCTCTTTCTAAAATAAAAAATAAAATAATTTAATGAGAATATATAATTAATCATTGACAAATTACATTTTACACTGTCATTTTAAAATGAGGTAGGTGTTCAGTGATGCATATACAGGACAGTATCAGACAAATCCTCTTCCTGCAAAAAATGTTACAGATTAGTTTTATTCACTGCCTAAATTTACTCATCTAGGACTCTGAGAAATATGGTGATATTGAATGGCAATATATCTGTCCTGAAATTTAACTT